TAGTGCCCTCCCCCTCGAGCTCTCGGCAGGGGATTAATCTCGTTCTTCCCCTCCTCGGCCTCCCCCCTCCCCCTCCCCCTCCCCCTTCCCCCTCCTGCTCCTCCTGCTCCCACTCCTCCAACTCCTCCTCCTCCTCCTCCTCCTCCTCCTCCTCCTCCTCCTCCTCCTCCTCCTCCTCCTCCTCCTCCTCCTCCTCCTCCCCCCTTTCGTCCGACCCGAGCCTTGACGGCGTCGTAGAAGACCCTGAAGTCCTCGGGAAACGCCGGGCCCTCGCCCAGCCCGGCGCGGCGCAGGTCATCCGCCCCGAAGATGGTGGTGGTGCCGCCGCCGTCGATCAGCTCCAGGTCTGCGCCGACATTCCCCACCGCCTTGTGGGCAACCACGTGTGCAGCCTACCCCTCGAGCAGAGGATCGACTACACAGTTGTCTTACCCCACAGCTGACTCTTCGCCGACTCTGCAAGACGAGTGCGTAGCATGTCCCGTTGATCTACGAGCATTCTATGCATGGGGTGCCTGAAAGGTCTGCATGCAGGTCAGGTTTCCGAAAGACCAGCTGGGGTTCAGAATCCGAAGGGTGTCCGCAGCCAGGTGAGCCCAGGCGGCGGTGACCGATGGCCCAGCGACGAGTGGATCCGCCCGGGCCAGGGGCACGCTTATAGGGTCTCAGAGCCTGGCGGACCCGCTCCTCCGCGGCCCTCTCCTCCGGGCACGCCTCTGCACAGGCCAGCACCACGTCTGCGGGGCCCGCCAGGGATGCCAGCACTGCCTCCGGCGACGCATCGCACACGACCAGCCGCGAGCCCCGCCGCGCCAGCGCCTGGGACAGGTCCGCGACCGCCTCCTCGACGAAGCAGCGGCGGGCCTCACCGACCCTGGGGCTGCCGAACGCGCTGCGCGAGGAGCTCCCGAACTCGCCCGGGTCGAAGCAGAACACGGGCAGCAGGCTGGCCCCGCGGTGCCGGCATAGCTCGAGGGCGCGCTCCAGCAATCCGCTGTCGCCCAGGCGCAGCTCGCTGCGGAGCCACACCAGCACGCAACCACCCTGGCCGCCAGCGCCACCATCCGCAGCGGGTGCCTTTCTCAGGGGTGGATGGGTCCCCCCTTTGTAGAGCGCAGAAAAGCCTCCCTTCACGATACGCACCCCGACGAGCGAAGCCGTTTAGTAAATGCACCCGAAGAAGGGCAGGGCTGTTTAGGAAAGGCCCAGGGTCGTTTATGTAGTAAACGCCAATTGTTGGGGTCTGGATGGTCTGTCCTCCCTGGACTTTGGGAGAACACCCCTGACAAATGCGACCGGGGGTGCCGGGGGGAAGGTCGGAGGTTAACCTCCGATCTCCCCCCCTGGCGTGCGCTATACAGTCAACCCGTATCATGTCATGAGGATGCGCGGTAAGGACGCAAGGGCCTCGGAGGCCCATGTGAACTCTTTTCGAACGAGGTCGGCCAGCGAAAGTCGCTAAGGATGGGCCGAAGGGGCAAGGATGCCAGGGCACCCTTGGGAAAACTGCCCATCCGTACCATGCGGCTTGACCGCAACATGGAGTGTAGGGATCTGTGAATCTGGCGCGTGGGCGCCAAATCCACGGGTCGGGTATCGTGACCCCCGAACCCTGACCTTCCAGAGAGCTATTTTTTAGCACTGGAAACCTAAAAACCTAAAAAACGAGACGAGACAGCCTAAAACCAAGACGTAAAATAGCTCTGGGATAGGTTTTTACGTCGGGTGTTATTTTTTTGCCCTCCTGGAAGGTCAGGGAAATATGGCGCCAGTGCCGCCCGGCCTGGCGACGAAGTGCGCCTTTGGTTAATCAAGGAAGCGGGGCCCGTGGCTAATCCACGCGCCCTGCTGAGTCTCGCTTCTCCAGGCGGGCCGCAACCCCTGACCCAGACCGAACGGGAAACGAGCCTCTCCTGTCCGCACCTGGCCGCCTTCCCACTGCCAGGCCGCGGCGCAGCGCAGAGAGGAGGCGGAGGAGGAGGAGGAGGAGGAGGAGGAGGACAACGACGCTCACCTTCGCACCCACACCGCCGAGCGGGCGCAGAAAAGGCGCCCGGTACCACACCCTCTCTCTCCCCTGCCCTCCTTGGCATATCGTGTCGTTCGGTCCATCCTTCTTCCTTCTCTCTCTGCCCCTCCCCCCTGGCGACTGCCAGGTGGGACGAGTTCGAGGGCTCCAGCTGGATAAGCAGACAAGTCCACAGCTTCGAGGGCGAGGTGGACGACAGGCTGTTGACAGGGAGGAGCGACGACCCCAGACCCCGACGTCATGGCCTCTTCCTGACGTGGCCCCCCCGAGGTCTCGACCCATCCACCTGGGACCCATTCTTCCTCCCGTGCCGCTCTTCTTGACGGTCCGGAGGCCCGGCGAGGGCCCCCAGAGGCCGAACACTGCCAAAGACCCATGCCGTCCCAGACATGCGACGTCCTGATTTTTGTCAGGACGGCGTCCCTGGAAGTCCCCACGGACCGGTGCTTCATCCTGAGTCGTCTTCTGACCGTCCTGGGGCCCAGCGAGGGCCGAAAATAACGACAAGGACGCCATCACGTCCGGGTTCCCGAGACCCGAGGGGGTCTCCGCGCCAACGACCCGAGGGGGTCCCGAGACCCGAGGGGGTCAAAAATAAAGACAACGACGCCATCATGTCGACAGAGTCGACTCATGTCGAGACCCGAGGGGGTCGCCGCGCCTCCTCGCCCGGGCCGGCCGCGGCCGCGCCCGTGCCGACCTCCTTGGCCTGCCAGCGCGTCCTGCGCGTCAGCCTGCCGCGGAGCCCCGGGGCCGCCCGCGCGCCCTCGGCGGGGCCGGCGCCGGCGGGCGGCGAGGCGCCGCTGCCGCGGCCGCCGAGGAGGCGCGCCAGGAGCTCCGCGGGGGCGCCCCCGCGCGTGGCCTCCGTGATCTCCATCAGCTCGGGCCCGGGGACGCGCTTCGCCTCTCGGCCCACACGCAGGGGTCCCAGACCCCCTCGGGCAAGCACACAAAAATCAGGACGGGAGGTGTTTCCTCACTCTCGGCCTCGATAGGCGAGGCCCTTTCCCGCCCTCGGGACCGTCGCAAAACGACTCGGGACGAGAGACCGGCCCCGGGGAGAGAATGCGTCGCGAGACCTCTCGGGGTCGACGCCGTGACAAAATCCCAACCTCGGGGCTCCAGGGCGGCTCCGTGGGCGGGAGGGGGCGCAGCCCAGACCCCCGACGTCATAATTTTTTCATTACGACGACCCTGAGCGATCTCGACCCATCCCCCCGGGGCCGGCTTCTCGTCCCGAGTCGTGTGTTGACGGCCCCGAGGCCCGGTGAGGGCCCCCAAGAGCCGAAAATAACCAAAAACTGTCCGTCGCGTTTTCTTAGTTTTTTATATATTTTTAATATTATTTTTTTAACTTATTATGTTTACAAAAATGATGTTTATATATATATATATAAAAACAAAAAAAAAACGTCCAGGGGGTCTGGGAAGAGAGGCAGCCACGGCAGCTGGGCCGAGGAGGCCGCCCCGGGCGCCCTCCCATGGGGGCAGGGGCGGCCCCGGCCCCGCAGCGGCGCCCTGCGCCGGGGGGGCCGCGGTCGGCCACGGGGCGCGGGGCGCCGGAGGCACGGCTCCAGATCGGCGCTGCAGCGGGCGTGCGGGGCCTCTTCTTCGCCCGTGGGTGTAGGGGCCGCGGGGAGACCAAACCCAGACCCCCTCGAGTAATGAAAAAATCATGACGGGAGGTTTTTCCTACTTTTCGGCCTCTGGGGGCCCTCACCGGGCCTCGGGAGCGTCAAAAAACGACTCAGGATGCAAAGCCGGTCATGGGGAACGGGTCGAGACCTCGGGGGGTCGACGTCATGACAAAAATCACTACGTCGGGGGTCTGGGAACGAGGGGGCCACAGGCGAACCCTACCCCCCCCCCCCACGATTTCTGAGGGGGGAGGGTGGGGTTCACTTCGCTGGGGAGCTCCCGAGGGAAGTGAACACCCCACCCTCCCCCCGCAGAAATCGTGGGGGGTGGGGGCAGGGCTCGCTGGTGGCCCCCTGCAAATCCAGGCGCGCAGGCTGCTGCCGTGGGCCCGCGCGAAGGGTCCCTCCGGTGACGGGTCGCCCTCGCGCGCGCGGCCGAGCCTCGGCGATGAAGCCGCTGCCGCGCAGCGCGATCGTGAAGAGCACGGGCACCGGAGGGGACTCCAGCAGCCGGCGCACCCGGCTGATGAACTCGCTCGAGAACAGCTCCATCTTGCCGATCTCGTCGATGATGCAGACGACGTCGTCCCGTGGGGGCGTATCCAGGATCCGGTCCAGTATCGGCAGCGCCAGGGACTCGAACTCGGCCACCGTCACCACGTACTTGCTCACGCGGGGCCCACTGCCACCTCCTTCACACGCCCGCCATGGGTGCGGCAAACGTAGGTCGAATGTCCAATAGCAACTGTTGCTCGAGCACAGAAAGCGGCCGCTGTTGGGCAGGCGATTTGGTGTATCACATGGACAACGCCCGCGGCGACTCAGACAGCGAACCCCTATTCAAATTGGGCAGGAACTAGTGTCGGTCGTCCCCCCTCTTCTGACAATATCCCTTTCGGTCGTACCCATCTCCGACGCGCGCCAGCGCCACGCGCCTCCCGTCCCCGGCCAGCTCCACGACGTCGAAGCCAACGCGCACCCCGCGCTCGCGCAGCTCCTCGGTCAGGAAGCCCTCGACGCGCACGCCGCGCTCCTTGCAGAGCTCCGCGACCCTGCGGCAGGCGGTGGACTTGCCCACGCCCGGCCACCCCGTCAGGAGCAGCCTCCGAACGCATGGGAATTAGCATCTACACAAGCATAAAGAGGAGGAGGAGGAGGACGAGGAGGACGAGGGGGAGGAGGAGGAGGAGGAGAGTGAGGAGGAGGAGAGGCAGGAGAAGGAGGAGGAGGAGGAGGAGGAGGAGGAGGAGGAGAGGAGGGTTAGGAGGGAGGGATAGGAGAAGGAAGTAGGAGAGTAGGAGGAGAGGAGAAGGGGGAGGAGGAGGAGAGCGGAGGAGGGAGGAGGAGGAGGAGGAGGAGGAGGAGGAGGAGGAGGAGGAGGAGGAGGATCGAATCGCTCGGAGGCCCGCGCCGACATTCTCTCGGATCTGCGGCGCCGCTTCCCTGGCGCGCGGAGCGCGCCGCGCCTCTGGCGCCTCCTGGGGGCGCCTCCGGCGCCGCCGGGACTCGGCATCGCTCCGACGCTCACTCAGCCTGTGCAGTTTTCGACTGCGTGTGCGTCTTCATCGCAGGAGCAGCCCCCCATCTGAGGCCTCTGCCGCGCTTTGTTGTCGCCTCGCCCGTCGCTCTGTTTGCTCTTCCTGCGTTTCCTTTGCCTAATCCGTCTCTGCGTAGCCCGCTTTGACCTGACACGCCGCTGGCGCGCTCGCCCGCGGCCGCTGACTAAAAAAGTCTTCATCGCAGGATGCTCCACGACGCTCCTCCATCGTCTTCGCCGAGCAAAAGAATTCACACGCCCGAGCGCTGCTGAGCCTCTGGCGCCTCCCGGGGGGCGCCTCCAAGGCCGGCCGGGAGGGGCACGGCGCCGCTGCGAGAAGCCCGCGCGGACCTCCCGAGGTTCACGCTCGCATGTAGCCTTCCTCCCCCGAGGCCACGGCTTCGCCGCCCCGCCCACATGCGATAAGCACGAAAGATACCTCTAACCCTTTGGGAGGGGACCCGAGTCAGGAGGGCCAGCCACACGAGGGACGGGGGGGGGGGGCTCGTTTCTGCAGGTGTGCCAGGCCAGACCGCCCAAATGTATGATCCCTCATGCGAAGACGGGAACCTCGGTGAGGCCACGCCTCCATCGTGTTCTTAGGGATCGGGGCCCTCTTGCTCTCGATGGGCGTGTGCAAGAAGTCGGCGTTTGGGTCCGCCCAGCCTGTCTGCCCACGTCCGAGCGCCGGAAGCGCCGCGGAGGGGGCACGGCGCCGAGATCCGAGCATCCCGCGCGGGACTTCGGAACAAAAAGTCGCGCTCGTGCAGCGTGTCTCCGCCTCCGATGATGGGCCTGTTCTCCACCACCACCACCACCGTAAGCTGGAGAGGGGAAGGAGGCGGAGGAGGAGGAGGAGGACGAAGAGGAGGAGGCGGAGGAGGAGGAGGAGGAGGAGGAGGATGAGGAGGAGGGAGGAGGAGAGGAGGAAGGAGGAGGGGGAGGAGGAGGAGGGGAGGGGGAGGAGGAGGAGGACGACCCCTCCCCCTCCGAGTTACGGTGGTGGTGGTGGAAGACAGGCCCCTCATCCGAACCTCGACCGCCCCCGCCCCCAGGGCCCACCCCGCCCAGGGCCGGCGCTTCTGGCGCGCGCCCGGCGGTGCGGTCGGCGCCCAGGGCGGGCGCTCTCCGCGAGCGGCTCGAGGCGGGGAGCCGCGCGGTGCTGCGTCCGCGGGGGTGTGGTGGTACACCACCCGCGTCGCAGTCGCCTCCTCTGTCGCCGAGCGGGAGGCAGACGTCCTGATCCGTTCTTCGTCGCGGGACGCGGGCCCGCCCGTGGCGGGAAGAAGCACGCACGGGGGGGGCGGCGCCAGAGGCGCCGCGGGGCCCAGCGCCGATCCAGGAGATCCGCGCGGGCCTCGAGAAATTTACGCTTGGGAGGAGGAGGAGGAGGAGGAGGAGGAGGAGGAGGAGGAGGAGGAGGAGGGAGGAGGAGGAGGAGGAGGAGGAGGAGGAGGAGGGGAGGGGAGGAGGATTAGGAGACCAGAGGAGAGGAGGAGGAGAGGCGGAGGGAGAGGAGGAGGAGGAGGGGGAGGAGGGAGGAGGAGGAGGAGGAGGAGGAGCCAAGGGAGAAGAAGAGGAAAATAAGGACGAGGAGAAGGAGTTTTAAACCCGCGTGCTCAGGCGTGCGCAAGAGTGCCCCAGGTCTCGGCACCCAGGCCGAGCACGCTGAACGCGCGCCCGTGGCTGGGTGGGCCTGCGGCCTCAGTGCGCACCCTCTCTCTGTCGGCAGGCGAGGATCAGCCTCCACTGGCAGTCTTAGGGCTGCTGCCAGGGCTCGTGCTCCTCCTCGCTGGAAGAACAGAGCCCGCGGCTCCCGAGATGCCGGCTTCGGTGTAGAAAACACGGGTCCGCAGGGAAACGGGTCGCAGGCCCTCAACCCTAGGCCTTCCCATGGGACCAGGTGCTATTCATCCTCAGCCGTTCTGTTGACGGGCCCGCCAGCGGGCCCCGAGGTCCCGAAACAGGAGCAGAACCACAAAGCGCGGCCCTGATGACCACGAAGGACGGCGTGGCGACACCACGCCCGTCATGGGGTGCGGCAGCGCGCCGGCCGCGCGCGAGCGGAGGCGAGCGGTGCCGCGGACTGCTGCCCCACCTGGGGGGCCGTCCGCGCACCTTCCCGCTGCCGCGCGCGGCCGACTGCGGCGCGAGGGCGTGAGAGACGCCAGCCGACCGACGGCGACGAAGGCACGGAAACCCGCCGCAACAGACAACGGCCAGGGGTAGGCCACGGGAAAAAAGAAAAACGGCGCCCACCACCGCCCGCGCCATGCGCGGGCGACGCCAGCGCCGCTGCGGCAGGCGCGCGCGCCCCCCCTGCGCCGTGCCTGGGCGGATCGCCTGCACGGGCGCGCGGCGCGACATGCGCGCGCGCCTGCGGTCGGCACCCCAGCCGCGCTTTGTGACTCTGAGTCAAAGAAGTGCGCAGCACAAAAAAACTCAGGACTCGTTTCCCTCAGGACACATCTGTCAACAACACAAGGCGGGCAACCGCAGCGGCGTGAGGGAGCCGTGGCAGACAAGCTCCTTAGTGGCTCTGCAACTTCGACTAGGTGGTGCTCGCCATCACGGGGTACAGGACCGACCGGCTGGGGGGGGGTCTTTCGGCATCGCTACTGATCGCGTCGTGGAGGCGCTGTCGCATGGCGTTTCTCCTGAAGCACATTGCTGGTCAGGGCTCTATAATGCCGTAGACATGCTTGGCTAACGCCTGGAGAAGGAGCCTCAGCCCCGAACTGGGTGGCCCATCGTGGTGGCGCCCCATCGTGGGCCCTCACCGTGACGCCCCCTAGCGGCCTCGGATAGCTGCCCCCCTTCGGAGGGCCCCATCGTTACCCCTCGTCGTGGCTCCCTGCCGAAGCCACTCAATTGAACTCAGAGGAGCTGCTCCAGGTCATCCTCGGATCAGTTCTTCCTTTCCGCGGCACCAAAGTCCCGACCCCTTCCCTAGAAACAGCTCTTCGTCCAGGATCAGATATGATGGTCTCGGGACACGACACCGGTCCCTAGAGGCCGACATCGAGGAAAACACGGATTTCACAAGATCTGAATTCAAGGGTCTTCCCGAGGCTTGACATAATACCCTTTAGCAACACGCCGTTCAAATGAAAGCTGCCAGGGGCACTCCACGTGCGCACGGCACCCTATCCCCAGTGGACCCCAGCGGGGTAGCTCATCGGCGTCCAAGAACAACCGAATGTATCCGGCACCAGTGCTCTCGAACACCAGTGGCCAGTGCAATTTTCATCCGTCGGCGTGTCTGGGTGGGCGCCGCCCACCGCGTTCTGGCCCTGCGCGCCTGGCTGCTGCTGCCCCCCGGCTGCTCATCGTCGAGTGCTTCGGCGTCTGAGCGTCCCCTCTTCCTCTCGGCCGTCCTCCCCCCCCTTTTTGCTCGCCGGCCCTCCTCCTCCTCCTCCTCCTCCTCCTCCTCCTCCTCCTCCTCCTCCTCGTCCTCCTCCTCCTCCTCCTCCTCCTCCTCCTCCTCCTCCTCCTCCTGCTGGAGCGCAGTTCGCCGCCTCGCCGCTGACGGACAAAAATTGCCTGGTTGGGCGCTCCCTCCACGCCCCGTCCCCTGTCGCAGGGGCGCCTCCCTGTCCAGGAGCGCCCAGGGCACCCGGAGCACGCCGGCCGCCGCGCAGGCGAGCACACAGGGGGGGGGGTTCGGGTGCCGAGCGGCCGAGGGGGGGAATCGGCAGAAGAAGAAGAAGAAGAAAAAGAAGAAGAAGAAGAAGAAGCGGAAGAAGAAGAATAAGAAAAAGAAGAAGCGGAAGAAGAAGAAGAAGAAGAAGAAGAAAAACATTAATGTAAACTTTTGGCGCTCCGCGCGGATCCCTTGGATCTGCACTGGGCCCCCCCTCCCTGGCGCGCGGAGCGCGCCAGGGGCGGCGCCCGAGGCGCCGCCGAACGGGGCCCAGCGCGCATCCAAGAAATCCGCGCGGAGCGCCACAAGTTTCGCTTCATGGCGCTTCCTCTCCGTCGGACCGAAGAGGAGCCAGCTCCTCTACCCCCCCCCATCGATGCCCTCACCCTCGCCTTCCTCTTCTTCGAGCCGAGGGGGAGCCAGCTCCCCTACCCTCCTCGATCCTCGCTCCCCTCGATCCTCGCTCCTCTCTCCCCCATTGGCCTCTGCATGGCATCCGCGGGCCGCCCGCCGCCCAGCGCCGCGCAGCGGCCCGCGGCCGCGCGGGCGGCGTGCGGCGCCGGGGCCGGCCAGGCCGCCGCCGCGAGGCCGAGCAGCGCGCGGGTGCGCCGAAGAGGGGAAGGCCCGGGGGTCCGCACGCTGCCCTCGGCCAGCCAACCTCCTCCTCCTCCTCCGCCTCCTCTCTCCTCCTCCTCTCCTCCTCCTCCTCCTCCTCCTCCTCCTCCCTCCTCGCTCCTCCTACTCTCCTCCTCCTCCTCCTCCTCCTCCTCCTCCTCCTCCTCCTCTCTCCTCCTCCTCCTCCTCCTCCTCCTCCTCCTCCTCCTCCTCCTCCTCCTCCGTTCCGGTGAAGCGGCAACGCTTTCGGCACCCTGGAGGCGCCGCCTCGGCGCCCTGGAGGGCCGCCAGAGGGCCCTCCGCGAGGCCTTGCGGAGCTCTGCTGGGCAATGCTGGGCCTCTGCGGAGCTCTGCGGAGCACTGCGGAGCCCCAGAGGGGGTTCTGAAATGCTGTTTCCGGTTACGCGCAAGAGTGCGCGGGGGCCCGAAGCTGAGCGCGTGCGCGCCGCTGCTATCGCATCGCGCGCGACGATCGGGGGGACCCCGAGGAGCCACCACCACCACAAGGTCACTCTGGCGAGGCTCTTGCTCAGTGACGGAGGCGGGCGCCGTCGCTGGCGAAAAGCCACCAGACCACACCTGGCAAGGGAACACCAGACGGGTGGAGAAGGACAGGGCGGCCGTGGCATCGGACGCGTGGGGAGGCCTCAGGCGTAGAGGGTCTTCGCCACGAGGTGTGCGCAGGCGGAATCAGGCAAACACTGTGAAAAACAAGCGAGCGAAGGAAGGCTTTGGGCGATTAGGCCTCCGCGATACCCTTCGTCGGGCCGCAAGACCGTCAGGAAACGGCATGGGATGAGAAGCCAGTCCGTGGCAAGAGGTCCAGGTGTCTGGGGAGCCACTCTGTGAAACAACTCGGCGTCGGACAGCTGCTGCGGACAGACAAAACTGGGCCACCTCGCTTTGCGCATCGCGCCCCTCGCGGTGATATTCTTCGCGCCGTCGCGCCCTCACGCCGCCCTCTTGGAGAAGGACCGCCGCTCCGGCCCAGATCCCGACGCGCGACGCGCAGTCATCTTCGCGCCACTGGGGGGTGACCTGGAAGGGGAGGATGGGCCGGTGCACCGTGGTCCGAGGCACGCTGCGCGGGCGAGAGCAGCGGGGCCAGGGCACGTGCGCAGAGAGCGAGAGGGGGCCATGGGCCCAGCCATGGTACATCGTGCGGGGAGAAGGGGGCGCCCCTGGGGTGGGCACTGGCTGGCACCATTGGCAGGCCAGGCGCCCCACCAAAGCAGCACAGCCCCTCGGTCATAACGCAAGGGCGACCCGCTGGCGGGCCCGATCCACATTGCCCTTATTGGCGTCGAAATCCTGCGTGGCAGCATGCTCGCCCCAGCCCTGGGGAACCCAACAGGTATCGATACCGCTGCTCCTCGGACCTCTACTGGGGTGCGTTCTGACCCAAACTTCGAAGCGAACACAGCCGTGGCGACGAGGACCTCCCGGGAGACCCAACAAGGAGAGAACGAGGCGAGGGTGGCGGTATGGGCACCTCTTGCTCCTCTGATAATCCTCTCGCCCCCTCTTGGGCGCCCCCGAAGCACCGATGCCCACCTCCGCGCGCCCGCCCGCGGCCGCTGCCGCAGGCAGCGACCCGCGGCAGCGGTCCGCGGAGGCTGCGGCGGCAGCGCGGCCGTCGCGTCGGAGCGCCGCCGCCGCAGGCGGCGGCGGCGGCGAATGCGCAGACGGCCCTGTGCTTTCCCACTCAGCCACGCAGGCTTCGGAGGCCGTGAGAGTTGAAGGGAGGTCCGTCAGCGGGTCAGAGGCCGGTGAGGTTGACGGGCGGGACTCCATAGGTGAGTTCAAGGTGGGAGTAGAGCTGCCGAAGGTCCGCGTGCGCCGCAGTGGGGAGGTTCCTGAGGTCAGCAGCTCTCGTGGCGTTTTCTCTTCTAGCCCTTCCTGCCCCTTGCGGTTCGAGGCTGACGAGGATCCCGAGGCATGAAGTTCATGAGCGCACTCTGCGGTGATCCAAACCTGGGGGCCAAGTACCATCCTCTTTTTGAGGGCCTGGGCTTCCTCTTGCGGGAGTTGCGGCGGAGGGTCATCAAACTGGACCACAAACGAAAGGACAGAAGAAACGTACACTCGGTCGGCATGCAAGGTCAGAAGCAAGTCGACGCCCAAACGCCCCCAGAGAGTCGCCCGATCGCTGTACTTTCGCAACGGCGCGTTCCAGGAAGAGAAGCCCCCGTCTCCCTCCCTCCCCATCCCTTCCCCCATGCTCCTGCCCATCTTCCTCCCTCACCCCCTTATCCCCGCACCTCATCAAGGGGGGTGGGCGTGATGCCTGTTAGACTGACCTCCCGCTTCCTCTCCATTCCTCATCCCGGTATTCATCACTTGCGTCTTCATCATCACCTTTCCTATTGTCTGGAGGGTGTCCCCACGTCACTCATATCCTCCACCCCCTCCTCCTAATCCTCCGACATCCTTCTGCTGCCATCGCTACCCCTCCTCATCTTTCTCCGTGCTCATCCCGCCTCCCGTGCTCCCCCTCCTCCCTCCCCCATCTTCCCCTCCCCCTCCCACTCCCCCCTCCCTCCCCTGCGTGCTCCTCCTCCTGCCCTGGCTCTTCCCCGCCCTCAGACCGTCCCCGCTTCCTCGCCTCACTCCGCATCGCTCTCGTCCTCCCGACCCTCTCCCTCACTCGCCCATGCTCGTTCCAACTCGTCGTCCCACTCTTCTCATTCCATGTGCCCTCGCATCCGCCAACCTCATCACGATCATCACCCGTCTCGTCGCCCTCACCATCAACTCATCGCATGCCCCAAAGGC